CTTTATCAACAGACTGGAGTTCTTCTTAACTCCACCTAATCTTCCTGAGCTGAATCCACCATGATCCTCATTTCCAAGTTCATCACCACCTTCTCTTTCTCTCTTTCCTGCTTAGCTCCTTTCTCCTCTTGATCTGAACAAACCTGTCACTTCTCCTCACCTTTATAAGAACAAAATAATTCCTTGCTTTAAAATGAAATAGTGTGGAGATGGTATGTCTATAAAGCCCAAAATATTTTTAAGTAAAGTATTTTTTTAAGACATTGCCAACAGTTTCAAAAAGTCAATAAAGGTTGAAACACAGTATGTTGCAATGGCTTGTAGATTATGCATTTGCTGAATTAGGTCCAAGCAGATCATCGTTTGTTATAAAAAAGGAAATGACACAAAATGTGTATGTATGCATAGAAAAAGATTAAAGTCATATGCAACACAATATTGATAGTAGTTTCACTGGAGGGAGTGCTCATTTCTTTCCCTATATATTTATATTTTCTAACTGTTCTATAATCTACACATATTTCATACACAATTAAAAATTAAGTACATCAATTGAATATATGCCAAAGGAGAAAAGGGTGGGAAAGGTGAACAATGAGGGAAGAGAACAGAGCAGCAGGGAAGAGAGAAGTGAAGGAAAAGAAGCAATAGAAGTGGTCCTCTCTGAGAGGAACAGGGGACACAGCTCTAAATCAGTCTCCATCTCCATCCTGCAAGCCCAGGAGTTCCAAGCTCTGTTCTATACGGTGGCTAACAGACCCTAGCCAAGGCCACTGGCAAAGCAAAGAACTGCCTGCATACAGGCATCAGTGTAACCACTGATTCAAACGGAGAACTTAACTTCTTGCTGGGGGTGGAGGTGAGGAAGTACACTCAAGAACACTGAAATTGCCCAGACAGGTGTGGCTCAGTTGGGAGTTACACCGAAAGCTTACCAGTTCAAGAACACACAGAAAGTCTTTTTCAAGGAATAAAATGCACCCAGGTTGTGGACTCAGTCTCCGGTGGGGAGTAGGCAAGAGGAAGCCAAATAATGTTATGCTCTCTCTTGCATTGTCATTTCTCTCTTCTCCCTTCCTCTCTCTCAAAAATCAATAAATTATTCTTTTTAAAAAGGAAAAAAAAAAAAAGAATGCTGATATTCACAAAGCTGCTTCTCTCCACCTTTGCTTTTGCATCTCAAGCTCCAGGAGTCACTTAAAAAGCAGGCTATGTATTTTCAAGAAGTAAATCTCTTGGATGAGTACCTTATGTTCAGGAGCAGGAGAGGGAAGGTGCCGGGCTGTGTACCGGAACTCCCAGCCAGAGGAGACGGCTATCTATCTTGGCACAGGTTCTTGGGGATGAGACCACGTCTAGCGGGGATTTTCTCCAGATTCAACAGCCTTGGCCCTATCAAACCACGCAGCTTTGTTTGCACCATACATCACTCGTCACGAGTCTTTAGTTTTTCCTTTCAAGCATCCACAGGTCAAAGACTGCATGTTCCCAACCGTCTGGGAGCTTCTTGGGCCAGCCACAGGACATTCATTCTGCTCAGCACTCCTTTAACATTTCTATTGTGTTCGATTTCCCACTCCCCCTGCCCATGTCCCCGGAGAATAACTTCTTCCTTGTTTTAAAAAACTTGGACCCCAGTCAAGGTTGATGTGTTTCTCCGCTTGCAGGATATTTTCTTCAGGAGAGACAAAACAGAGGCTAACAGAGTAGCCAAGGCTTGTGAGCAGCCTTTAAAAAAAATCAGCAGCCTTATTAAGAAAACACAGAAAGTCTTTTTCCAGGAATACAATGCAGATGGCACAAGGCACCATATAAACAGAATTATTCATAAAGGTGGACTGATCCTCAGAAAGGGTGCCCAGCAATGTTTTCTCTGAGTGACCCACTTTAAAAATCTAATTTCATGTGTCTTATGGGTGAGGGAAAGGGTCAGAGTTAAGCAAGTGGTTTCATAAAGTATCTTCTCTTTGACTCAAAATGGAAATACAATAGCCTCCTGTTTGAGGTCATAAAACTAATACTGATCCCAATGGGCATGGGGAGATTAGAAAATGAGTAAAGGGGAAAGGAGACAAGAGTAAATCAATGGCAAGAGTATCCTCCCTTCCCCATTCTATCATGTTTTCATCTCATCTTCCCCGTGCTCTCCCTCAAACCCCAGCCCCGCCCATGAGAACATCACTGCTGATCCCTGATGTCTAGCGAAAGCCTCCTCCGTGGACTTGTTAGGGCATGAGGAAACAAGCCTATTCTTTTCTGGGTAAACGTAACATTTGCAAGGAAAGAAGACATGAACAAATATTTAGTGGGGGTTAGCCTGAAGTACATGATCTTTTAATAAAGAATTGATAATGCCTCATTTTTATGAGCCATGTGGGAATTCTATCTTTCTTCTCCAAAACATGAGTCAAACCTCCAGTCTTCCTGTCGTATATCTACCGCCTCACCATGGTTTTTCTTACCACTCATTTCAAATAATGTCAAGACACTAGCTATGAATTAAAGCAAAAGACGGTTATTTCTCTTTGTTTTTCTTTGGGAAATATCTCTTCTCAAATGTATCCTCTATATTTTCAGTGTTTGCATACCATGACCAAAGAAAGTAAATTTGATATCACAGAAAATAATGACCCCTACCCAGATTACCCACCCGGAGAAAAGCCAAACTTTCTACTGGAATAACAGATTCATTTGAGTCCAGTTCCAGGCTGTTCATGGGCTTGGAGAAAAGAGCTAAAGAGTCAGTCTCTCTTTAAGAACTAAAAGAGGGGCAACCTAAGCACCAGGAATGAATATGACTCAGGCCTACTCAAAAATGCACATAATCTCCTTTGTCTTGACCTTTAGTAAAACGTCCTGGTTTTTGCTGTATAAAATAAACATACTGTATTGGCTCTGGGTCCATGTCTCTCAACAGAGGACAGAGGTCCCACCTGGCCCTAGCTTTTTCCTTCTTTAAAAAAAAAAAAAAAGAAGAGGGGCAACCTGTGGGTCATGACACATCAGTGGTTTCAAAATCAATACACACATCACCACCAGCATTTTAAAAAATGATATGGAATAAAGTAGAAGATATCAGCATGCACAGCATGGTGTAAGAGTTAAGTACTGATTTTTGAAAACCTGTGTGGTGTGTGTGTGTGTGTGTGTGTGTGCACTTACACTCACATGTGTATACTGGATCTCAGTAAAAGGTATTTCTACTGTGGTCACAATATAAAAAGCTTAAAAAGAAAAGAAAAAAAAGCTCAAGAAATTCTAGTCTAGGGCCCAGAATCTGGAGTCAGACAGAGATGGGTTCCAACATGGCTCTGTCACTTAGTCCCTCTGTGGACTTGGTTTGGTGGCTTACTCTCCCCAGCCTCTTCACCTGAAAGTTGGGCATAACAGTAAACCTAGGATTGGCATGAGAACAAAAGAGGAAACTTATGTAAAGCCATTGACACAAGGCCCCACAATGTTAATAGTCATTCTTAGATAAATGCTCGGTTCACACATGCAAGCAGACATCAGTTAATTTACACTGTGTTCGGAAAGGACAAATCCAGTGTGAGAGATGTTAGTCAATTGGACACTTGTACACCTTTTTTATTCTCCAGAGAATTGCTCTTCTGTAAGACTTATCTATTGGGGCTATTTGATCCTTGTGAGACAGCTCTCTGAAGTTAGTATTCTAGAAATACATTTGGATTTCAGAAATCCTTTTTCAGAATGTAAGCACCAAACCAATGAAAAAGTCTTCTAGTGTTTTCTTTTTCTTATGCAGAATTGAAAAAAAACAAATTACCCACAGTTTGTGCTTCATCGTTACAATATAGCTTCTGACTGTCCAGCAAGTAACTAATATCACATGTCTAAAGACCTTCAAAGATATCAGACTTATCTCAACTATGGAAAGACCCAGATTCAAATAGATGCCAAGATCCCTTATTTGTAAATTTTGTAACTAAGCAAAAAACAAACAAACAAACAAACAAAACCAAGCAAACTGTGTACTCAACATACAGATATTTTTAAAACAGTAACATACACACTTCACACTCAAGTTATTTTTATTCTTGGCATTTAGTTTGTGGAGTTACTGAATTCTGAGTGAAGAAAAGGAAGAGATCCAGAAAGAGTGAGACCAAGAGTCCAAGTAATATAAGACAGGTTAAGAATAGGTAGAGAAGAATGAAATGATGAAATTGTCAGCAGCCCCTTGAATGCAGGTAGGGGAAAGAAAAAATGTCAAGTCAACAAAAATGTCAAGTCTTATTTTGAGGTCCAGAAAAAGGAAATGGAGATTTGAATTAAAAAGAAAAATTGGGGGTAAAGGTAGAGAGAAGCATCTAGTAGTCGATGAAAAACAACTATGCAGGTTATTGAAGGGTTATCCAAAAAAACAACTGAACCAACAAAAGGATGAGGAGAGGGAAGTCGGTTCTGGTGTTCAAGCAGAGAAAATGAAATCAAAAGAAATAGTTACAGAAATATCCCAGTGTGCAGACTACAAGACTAGGGAAGGCACAGATGTTTAAAAAGAAAAATTCTTTGCAGAAAGTCTGGTCATAGACTTGGGGTAAAAATTAAGTTCTCCCTTAGAGATTTAAAGGTAAGTGGAGAAAATGCAAGTGAAGTATGACTGAAAGATTTGATTGATCTAACAGGAATATATGTAATGTCACCAATCTAGTATTTTATGAAACATTCACGAGAGGAAATGAGCAGGGTTCCTACATAAAGGCCATTAAGATGTTTTAATCAAAAGGATACGTATCATGTGGTTTATGAGGGCCTAAAAATTGTTTTCCAGGAGTATGTTGATGAGAAATGTCACCGCCTCCATTTTCATCCACTGCATGTTCTTGATGAATAAGAGGAAGCAGAAAGCAAGAGACAGATTTTTCCCATCCCAGGAGAAATACCCTGATTACCCATTGTCAGTCCTAACTCCTGCATTGCCCCCAGGCGCCATCATCAAGACCTAGGCATTTGCCATCATCACATTTTCCACTCACTTGCTCTGCCCTTCTGTCCATTTCACTGAGCTGGAGCTCCCAGCAGCAACTCTAGAAGAGAAGAAGAGGTGGGGGGTGGGGAATGGAGCATGCATGGCTCTAATAGCCTCCCAGAACCCAGAATCCAACGGGAAGCCACTAAATACACAGAGATGTGAAGCTAGCTATCTTGTCCAGAGTGTGAACTAAGTCACCAATACCACTGGAGCTGAGGGTGGGTGAAAGGCCCCATGGGGAGGCTGGGAAGAACCTGGGCTTTTGGAATCAGATCTGGGCTTGGAATCTCAGCTCTACCACTTCATACAACGTGAACTTGGAAACTTACTAAGTCCCTGAGCTTGATTTACTTCTTTAGAAAACAGAGTAACAATACTAGGCCTCATACTGTTGTTATAAAGATTAGATGAGGTGACCTAAAAGACCACCTGATATGTCGTAGGGACTTGATGAGTGTCATATCCAACTGCCTATCAACTCAGACTTGCTAGAAAACTGAAAGCAACCAGGTTTGAGAACTTTGAATCTGGATTGTCCAAATCATCATCTCTCAAATATAAATTTAGATACTGAACTTTGCAAACACAAAGTATTTTTTGTTAAGCTAGAGTAATAGTTAGCATCTGTGATATCTCTAACGAAACATAAACATTCAATGAGATTGAATGGACACAACTTTGAAGAACTCTAAAAATATTCAAAAGTAAAGGCCATATTGTTTTCCAAATAGTCTCAGCTCCCTCGTTCCAAGACAAAAATATCCCCTAAGTATATGCCTGAAAATTTAATACTTGAACACAACCCACCAACTGGGGGTGGGAAGAAAACAACTTGATTGTACAAAGAGCCTTGCCTATTCTTCTAAAACTATATTCTTTTCATAAATTATAAATACTGTATTTTCCGGCGTATAAGATGACCCCTAATTTTACAGTTAAAACATAGGTTTAGGCCTATATTCGCTGTATAAGACTACCCCCCACTTCCAAGGCAACACCAGTTCTTTTTTTAAATAGACCGCCTCTCTAACTCAGCCAATCCAAGCAGGCTTTTTATGCATGCAAATTATACATGTTCTGTTCCCGAAGCTACACTGTGTTCTAGTAAAAAGCCTGCTCATATTGGCCAGAGTCAGAGAGACGATCTATTAAAAAAAGAACTGGTGTTGCCTCGGAAGTGGGGGGGGGAGGGTAGTCTTATACAGCAAATATAGTCCTAAACCTATGTTTTAACTGTAAAATTAGGGGTCATCTTATACGCCGGAAAATACGGTACCTTTAAAAAATGGTTCGAATAGTATAAGTGTCTGTTTAAGGAATAGAGAAGAACTTACCCCTTTAGTGTGGCTCCCAAGTTCATCTGATTCCAGGTCATGCATTCAAGCTGGGAGGTCATCTGGTATAAATTGTCACTGTTAGAAAGACATCCAGAGTTAGAAACGCATAACTACAAAATAAATAAACAAACAAATAAATAAGCCATTGTCTCTTCAAACAGCAATGGAGCTTTAACTTTCCTTCACAGTGGAAGCCTCCATGTTTTCCAGAATGACAGATCACAAGTCTGAAATAATTTTCATTTCACCCCACTGATCTTAGCACAGTTATTCACGTCACACAGCAGAAAGGATGTAAGGGTAATTTGGAAGCCTTTAAAAAGCCTTTAAAAAACCAACGTATAGAGTAAACGTTGAAGTTTCTAAAGAGGTATTAAACCTTGGAAGGAAAGAGGCTAAAGGGAGTGAAACTTTGAAAGGCAACACAGGCTGGATAGCTCAACATTAAAGTTAAAAGCCTGGAGCTGAATGTAAAAAGACAGCAGATTAATTATTCGTGAAAAGGCCATTAAGTTGTTTTAATCAAAAGGATAAGTATCATGTGGATTATGAGGGCCTAAAAAGTCAGAGTGATGGGCGATGGATAGTCTCAAACTCAAGGATGTGACAGGAAGAGAAAGAGGATGAACTATGCACTAAGGGAATAATTTTCTATAAATTTTATAATCCTGGTACAAGTCAAACGGAGCTTTTTTTTTCTAAAAGCCTCCAACCCAGTTCTATAAAGCTGGATGAGGGAAAACAATGGCTGATCATTTACATTAAGAAGCCAAAGGAGAAATACATTATCATGTAAACCAATCAAAAATTGTTCTCTCCCTTTTACTTTGTACATACAACTGTTATAAACATCTTTATTACATGTGTTTTTAAGCATTACTCTAAATGCACAAAGAAGAGCTATCACATCCATGCCCTGAAATAACACCCCAAAGTATCCTGCCTGTTCAACTCTTTAAAGCATATTTTTTACAGGTTTTAAAATTTTTATTAATTCATTCATTTTCTATTTCCTCATCCCTAGAAAACTAGCACATAAGTCAATCATCAGGCATCTCCTAAAATTTCCAAGCTCTATGAAGAATGAGTTTGGTCCTGAAGTGAAATGGTTAATTATGAAATGAGAAACCCAAGAGATGAATGGTTTGTTTGGGAGCCCTTGTTCTAAACACATTACAGACATTACAGAACATTTTCGCTCCACCTTCACAGCAGACGTGAACAAAGGGTAAGAAGCTTTCAATATCTAACGTGCGATATCAGATTGCAAATTCTGGACAATCTCTGTCTTGTCAAGGCATTCCTTTGGGGTGCCTTCATCCATCCGGCCGGGGCAACACCAGTTTAATTATGAGACGGTTTAGTCAGGCCAACCAAACTGGGAAATTACAGCAACTCGGAAGAAATGAATACTGTGCTCTCTCTAGGCACAGCTTGATAAATCAAGGTAGAGTGCATCTGCCTCTCATAGAAGCACTCTGAAAATTATTTTGAAGATAACACAGGATAAGGAGGAAGTCAGAGTCCAGAAGTGAGTTTTACATATGAAATGAGAAGTGACTTCAATCTCCAAGTATGTGTAGTTTCATTAGTCAGTGTATGTCTGGACCCCATCATTCATCCCCATGTCTGACTGGCTATTATGCTACTACAATATCCTACATATCAATGAGGAAAAAAATTATTATTTTCTCCTGCAGCTTCCCGGTTTGCAGAGGCGGCCGGTGCTGGTCTGTGCCACTGCGTTTCTCAATTCCATGAATTCTTGCTGTAAGGCCAGTGTAATTAATTCCTGAAGGACCACAATTTTTATTAGAAGTGCCAGCCTGCTGCATTTAACACAGGAGAGTTTCTTGCACTTTCTTTGGGTTGACAGTCCATTAATAAGCAGCCTCCTCCACAATCTCTACTGGTTTTTGTTCTCCTGCGCCTTTTCATCAAGCAATCCATTTATTAATCTTGCCATTAATCTCGGCCAACAGGCATTGTATTCCCCAGGCAGCTCTATATATTTGTCACTGATTTTTTAAAAATTGTTCACCAGTTGAATCACTCAGCTCCAGCTGACAATTTTCCTAGGCCCTATAGGGAGGTGGGATCTTTCTGAAATGATTTCATCCCTGCATAAAACTAAGAAAATCCTAATTTCTAAGAGGGCCGAGAAACAAGATGAATGACAGAAGTTTATTTGGGTTAATGAGTCCCAAATATTTAGGAATTTTCTCACAGATTTAAAGGAAAGTCCAATAGATTCCTAAGGGTGTCGGTAAGGAAGTACCCCAACTAGAAAATATTTTAAGGACATTTTCTTGGCCCCCAATACCTCAAATACAAGGTATGTCTCACATATGGGTATCTTCCTAGTAGGTGCTTAATAAATATATTGCCCTGTCCAATATGGTAGTCACTAGTCACATGTGACTATTGAGCACTTGAAATATGACTAGTGCCACATGTTGAAATAAGATTTTGCTATATTGAATTATATAGAATATTTCAAAATTAATTTCACTTTTTTTTATTTGACTACTAGCACATTTCAAATTATGTATTGGCTTGCATTACGTTTCTGCTGGACAGTGTTACTCTGTAAGTTTTTGGATACTGAACAAATCAATTCAGCTCTTTGCACCTCAGTTTTCTTACCTGTCAAATGAGAATATTAATCTCAATCAACCTAGCTTTACAGAGATGTTGTAAAGCTCTAATAATGGCTCTTGGAGGACTATATAGATAAAACATTTTAATTTTATGATCATACAGGTTTCAGGGATGGGTTTCTATATGATCATATTAACCAATGTCACCCCAATAAATTTAATAAAAAATTAAAACAAAAATATTTTAACTTTTCTAATCTATCAAATTTTGCACAGCACTTCCACACCATCTCGAATATTCTTCACAACAATTTTATGATTGTTACAATTATGATTCCCATTTATCAGAGGAGGACCTGGGCTCAGAGAAGTGCCTAGTGCTGACTTTCCTGATGCCTCTATCCCCATCCTGCCTATCCCCTTTGAAAGATTCAGACATCATTTGGCCTCTGAGCCTGTCCTCTCATTGCCATTTACATAACAGTAATAATAATGCAGACAAGAGGCTGGAAGTGAAAGAAAACATACATAAGAAAGCATCGCAACTATTTTATCTCCAGAAAGTGACAAGATGCAAGATGCCCAACACATCCTCTTGAGCTAACCAAGGACAGTGTGCCAGTAGAAGCCCCATTTGTTGATTTTCGTGGTCCTGCTAGCCCAGCTTATAATTCCTCAGAAGGGGAGAGAAGGTGGGATGGGAAGAAGAACTTCCAGAAAATCCTCAAGCTACTCATAATTTTCCTGAGGCCAGCGACAGGATCACAGCACGATTTTAACCACATCCTGCCTTCTCTTGGCTGGGAGTCCTCAGCAGCTCCAGTCAGTAGGCTTGGCTGGCACAATCTTTCCACTGGAAGTCAATGACAGCAATGACAATAACTGCTGCTGGGGAAAGGACAAAATGTGTGCTGCAGCTAAAAATACTGGGCCCAAACATGCTCAGGCTCCGATCTCTTTGGGCAATCAGTCAACACCAGGCTCTCATTATGAAAACCCATAGAAAGAGGCAGCACTGGTCAAAGAATATATGGCCTCTGACAAAGAGTGCATCTAATTATTAAATAACCACTGTAGGTGTCAACCGCCTCATTCCCAGGGGAGATCAGATAAGCAGGTGGCTTGGCTCAGATCAACCACAGTGGTCACGTAGGCATTTCAGCTCCCGGTCTAACTCTGTCTGTTCGGAAGTGAACTCTGAAATTGCAGGCTGCCAAAATATATTCCGAAAGTCATGCTGTCCTTTATATTTTTGTAAGTAGGTCTTTTTTTTTTTTTTTTTTTTTAAGTCACTTGTTTCCTATGAAAGAAATGTTTGAAGTTGGAGGCAAAAGAGAGAGAAAAGCAACTTCTATAACTGGGATTAATGCAAGCTGGAGTAAAATAAAAGGAAGTCCGTCTTAGCAAAAAGGGGAACTTAAAAGGAAATCAGTAGTAGATCATATAGAGTTTATTTTGGCCTGGACTGCGGTATTACTGAGTTCCCGACCTCTGCACAAAAGGAAAGGAAGAAGAAAACCCTCAGCTATTATCTGGACTGGACCTCCTCCACTCTTCAAATGCATGTGTAATTCAAGTACATTTTCATCTTTAAGTGTGTTTACTATACTCAACAGAACAAGGTAGAAAAGTGCATATAACCACTGAAATGGGACCATTGAACCTGGTTGAAATTGGAGTTACCTCGGCCAGATGTTTGCTAGTTGGCAAAGTAGCATCTTTTTTCTCCATTACGGTTTACAGTCGATATTATTCTGTATTAGTTTCAGGTGTACAGCATAGTGATTAGACAATCGTATAGTTTACAAAGTGGTTCCTGTGATATTTCTTTCCAGTATCCACCTCGCTCCAGACATAGTTATTACAATATTATTGACTATATTCCCTATGCTGTAATTTACATACCTGTGACTATTCTGTAACTACCAATTTGTCAATTTGTACTTCTTCATCTCTTCACTTTTTTTTATTCCCATCCTCTCTGAAAAGTAACATCTTGGTAGAAGAATTTCCCCATGATATTTTTTAAAGTCAAATAAGAAAATGGGGAATATTACTGGCATTCATGATCAGAATTCCCAATGTTCCTAGCATTTGCTGTCATAACTCTGCCCCACACTAACAGACAGGCCTCTGTGGTTTTTCCTGGAACGATAACCAAGGCTCAAGAACTCGACTTCCACGCTGCCCTTCTCCTGAGTCCTTCCTTCCCTCTGAGGCGCCTTGGAGGCTGCCAGTTGAGAAATTTCTGCCCAGCAGGCCATGGTGAATAATTATTTTACAGTCAATCTCTTGGTATTGTAGTTTCTCTCAAGCTCGCCAGTTAACCAAAGAAAAACCCACTGGGGATTCAACTTCTATTAATAAACACTTGGTCAGCACAAAAGTTGAAGGAATATTTGAAACTAGATTTTCCTCCCTCCCTGGAGACAAGTCCAATGCAAGTCCCTTGGCTTTGATAGTGCTGCCAACCGA